AGCCAACCTGTGGTTTATACTTCAGCAATGTTGAGCAGACCTTAGTTACAGGTTCTGGGAGAGAGTGTGTTATCTAGAATGATCAACAATCTGAACAACACCAGCACACTCAAACTCTCGGTCATGATGACTTGTGACTTTGTGCTAGCACAGCTATTAATGGCCCCAAGTGTTCTGTCTACCCAGTTTCACTCACAAGGCTTGGGTCAACCTGTGATATGGTTTTTCAGGTATTTTCCAAAGATGCTGGATGCTGGGATTGCCCCCCACTCCAGACCAATAACATCAGGAAGTTTCCTTCCTGACAAATTGACCATGGTGAAATTCGAACCCAGGTCTCATGGTCAGAAAGTGAATGTTCTAGCCACTCAGCCACACACCGTGTGTGTATATATATATATATATATATATATATATATATATATATATATATATATATATAAAACAATTGATATATTTTTCACACATAATTGCCATGACTTAAATAACATGATCTAATAGAGAAATAAATAAATTTTCACCAATAACATTGATTTATTTACTACTGATTTTGATTAGGGTGTTTCATTAAGATGGATCAAAGTCAACAGTAAATAAATCACTGTTATTGGTGAAAATTTATTTATCTCTTTATTAAATGCAAATGTCACTGTGTTACACTTTTTTTTCAGTTAAAAGGTCACAACTCTAACTTTCAATAGCTCATGTTACAGAAATTTTTGATTCCCAAGTTTTCATTACTGGATTGTTTTTGGCAATTTTTTTATGTGATTTTTTGCAACAATTTTTTTTGTATAATAACATTTTTTTATAACTTGGAAATAAAGTTAGGAATAATCAAAATTAATTGTGTAATCCAGCAAAAGTCACCCATGAAATAAAATTAATTGTTTGTATGGAAAGTAAATACCTATGCACATCAATTTGTTAAGTGGCAACAGAAGAATTATTGTTGAACTTTTAAAATATAAGCTTAAATATTAATGCAATACTTAAATGCAGTGATCAGTTTTGAGTTTTTCTGTAGTTTATTGTTGCTTATCGCATATGGTAACAGTATGCCTCACAAAAAGGAATCTCTGCCAACAGAGGACTAGATTGCAATCAAAAGAGCTAAAGTTGCAGCGAGGAGAAGATAGTTCTGTGCAAAGAAAAAGAGTTTTCAGCTACCCCACTTTATAACTGGCATTGTCTGGCTGGAATGGCAGACAGATCATTAATGTCCTGGGTTTGAAATTTAGCACAGTCAAAAAACACTATTCCCTATTAAACACAGGAGCAGTTGAAAAGTTTGTGGTTTCTCAAAACTTTGTGCTTCCACATGGCAATTAAATAAAAAACATAATAAAATATATAAAGGATGTCTTTGTCATCCCTATCCATATATATCTCTTTATATATATATATATATATATATATATATATATATATATATATATATATATATGTGTAAGTGTGCATTTATAATTTCTCACTGAGGACACTCAAACTCTACACTGTGCTTGAGAGTGACACTTAGTCACAGGTAATTTTCTCTTAGATAGAAATGTTAGTCCATACATAAATAATCCTGTTATTTTTTATGGTACTATGCTTGTGTATCCTCCATATTTTTCTTTCAGTAATGTTGAGTTTTTTTTTAATATTTTCAAGTGTTCTATTTGAAAACATTACATCATTACATCCGCAATACTGTTTCTGTGTGTACAACTATAAGTTTTTCTTAATAAAATGTTATCAATTCCTAACAATTTTTCTTGTCAGAATCTATTTTGTACATGTATAAGTCTACTAATTGTCCATGTATCAAAAACTGATATGGTCTGATGTTTCTGCTATACATCTAAAGATATTTGATGAAATCCAAAGATACTGCTATATTATTAGTCCTGATCTGGCACTTCAGCTTCAGTTACTTTCTGATTTCCGTAATCAAGCTTCCCTATATCTTTTCTATAAATATTTTCATGGTAATTGCTCTGATGAGCTCTCCTCTTTGGTGCATTGATTTTACAAATTTAAATGAAATAATAAATTGACAGATAGGTCTCATAATTTAACTGTTGAAATTTCTAGTTGCAACTGTAATTTCTATGCTAATAGTTTCTTCTCTCACACTTCTTGCTTGTGGAACTTTCTTCTGGCTTCCTGTCCCCTATGATCTTCAAAAATGCAATGTCAGTTTTCATCTTCTGTCTCCATGAATATTTTTATTGTGATCTCAGTTCCTTTCCCTCTAAGTAACCCCTTGCATGTTAGTGGCTTTGTTTCCTTGCTTGGGGTAAAATAAAAAGAAAGAGAACAAAAAAAGAATTTTGACAATTTTGCCTTTGAAATGCATTGCAAAAATAAGTTTTCCTATTCTGTCATTTCAATTTATTAACATTATCTTTCAAATATATTAATTGCTACAATATCCTTTTATTGAATATATACATTTTTTTTTTTTTTTTTTTTTTTTTTACAAATCTGTTGCTATTACAATGGGATTTTTATAAACAGCAACACAAACAAAAACAAAGGTGGTAGGAAGCTAAAAGCATTTGGCTAAGTTGTGCATCTGGGTATATTTGATACCAGAAAATTAAAATATAAGTTAAATGTCCTGGCATTTTCAGCATTTATCTTAATGTACAGGGTAAGGCAAAAGTTGTGCACCATAGGGATAATTTATTAAAAGTATAATTGCACATGAAAATTTTATTTACTAGTAATTGTTATGTGCTGTTCAAAATGTCCTCCATTTTTCAAAACACATTTCAATTCTTTGCCTTCAGGATTCACTAACATGTCGGAGAGTTTCCTCTGTCATTTTACTGCATTCTGTGGGGAAAATTGTCAAAATGGCCTACCTTGGAAACGCCCACGAATCTGTGCGACGTGCAAACTCCGGTTGCTCAACGATAAAAAGAACCAAAATGGCAGCACCATTTTCAGTATTAGGCGATGACCCCTGAGCTTTCCCTCTACCATTCTTTACCAGACCTTGGTTCTATTGACATTTCTTTTGCTCTGTGGTGTTCAGTCTTGAATAGTGAGCTTGAGGCTATTCTACAGATGTGGCTGAGTCATTTCTACTGGCATCTCAGCACAATAATTGTGATGGTCTCTAAGCAACTTCTGCATTGAAGATTGTTTTTGTCTAGAAAACTTTCAATATCCTTCTGAGGCAATTAGTTGGAAATACCTCCAATTTTCATACTATAGCAGCGGTTTTCTTCCAGCACTGATAAATACAGAAGTATATTCAGGATGTTGTTCCTGAAGATCTTGATGTGGATGCTGATGTTGTTTGATCTCCAGATGTTTTTCAACATTGCCTTGTTAATTCTTCTGTTGGTCTCCCACTTACAGTCACCATCTGTCATGTTGCCCAAGTAAACAAACTATTCATCTTTGGTAATACCCGTTTCTTTATGTGAATGCATTGAACTGAGATAAAATAGTTATTGAAAATTTGATAAACTGGATTTAGGGCCAACTTTCTCCTTGCCTTTTATTTTCTACTTGATATCTTATTTCCATCATCAGTGATTTAAAAAAAAAAAAAAATCTTAGAATGTACATGACTTGAAATGACTGCTGCCCAAGTCATATATACAGCCATTCCTTAAGTTCTGCTCCAATGACCTGATTGCTAAATAAGCTGGTCCTAAGTGTGAAGTAGTACCTGACCATTATTTCAAGTATATGTGCAATGCATTTGTATCAACCAGCTTCATGAGCCTGGTCAGTACCTAAATGGGTGACTACTTGAAAATACCAGCTGCTGTAAGTTTGGATATGAGGGTGGTATAATGGGCTTAAGGTAATATCATGTTGAAACTCGGGTTCTCACATGATCACTGAAGTTAAGCAATGTTTAGCCTGGTCAGTACCTAGATAAGGAACCACTAGAGAATACCAATTGCTGTAAGTTTGGATATGTGGGTAGTATAATAGAGCCATATCACGTTGAAACACCAATTCTTATACGATCATCAAAGTTAAGCAACATCTACCCTGATTAGTATTTAGATGGGTGACTACTTGGGGATATCAGGTGCTGTAAGCTTGTATGTGCAGGTGGTATAATGGGCTTATGGCCATATAATGGTGAGACACCGGTTGTTGTATGATCACTGAACTTAAGCAATGTCGAGCCTAGCCAGTACCTAGATGGGTGACCACTAGGGAATTAGCAGGTGCTGTAAGCTTGAATGTGCAGCTGATGTAATGGATAATGGTTCGGAATTGGAAATCAGAAAGCAGAGTTCCAATTCCAGTCAGGTTTGTCATATTCACTTATGCTTTAGAAAAGAATATGAATCCAACTCTTCTCTCTCCAGCTATGGGTTCATTAGTAAAACTTGTATCAGTAAATCATTATTATCTCAAAAAAATTCTTAAAATCTAAAAATATTTTCTGACTTTAAATAACCTGCAAAAGGTTGATAAGTCATAAAAAACAAATTGAACAATCAAAATTTAACCAGCTTCATGTGGCTTCAATGTAACTTTTGCACTGTTTGTAACATTTCTAATTTATTTCTAAATGTTTATACAGTACTGTAATAACTGATTCAAGCAACTGAAGACTTTCCTAACAGAATCTATATAATTTGTTGTTATCTTAATGTTGGGAAGCATAAGACTCTATTGTTGTAGTGTTTACTGTGATGTTGGTGGCCACTTAAGATAGTGATGTCTGTACAGACTTGACTACTAGACTAATATAATAAATGTTAAATGAGTGATGAGAGAAGGTGACCCACTTGTAGCTAATTTCAGATATCACTCTCTTAAAGTATAAATAATTATGTTCTGAATAAAGCATTGTTTTATTTGCAAAGAAGGCTTGAGAGAACAATATTGCCTATTCATAAAGTGAAAAAAAAAAATGTTTTGATTCCTTGTCAGTTCAGCTGAGATAACATTCATCCCATAGTTATCTTGGAAAGTTCTTTCTGTTTTTGTCTTAAAGATTTCCTGGGCTTATGGCTGCATCACATTGAAACACTGGTCACCCCTAACCCCGTATAATCACTGAAGTTAAGCAACATGGAGCCTAGACAGTACTTAGATGGGTGAATGTTTGGGAATATCAGATGCTGCAAGCTTAAGATGTGCAGATGGTGTAATGGTTAATGGCTTGGAATTGTTAATTGGAGAGCTGAGTTCCAATTCCCATTATATTTGTTATATTAACATACATGCAAATACCTTTGGGGAAAGGTATAAATCCACTTCTTCTCCCCCAGCTATGGGTTAATTAGTAAGACTTGTATCATTAAACCATTATTATCTCTAAAAAAAAATTCTTATAAGAGAAAAATATTTTCTGGCATTAGATAACCTGAAAAGGGTTGATAAGCAGTAAAAAAAAAAAACACAAGTAAAAAAAAAATGTAAAAGAGATATTCTAAAATATTCGATTAAACATCTGGTCTCTGTGTGTGTAATAGATTTTTACATAGAAGAGAAAATATCTTTTTGTAGTCAATTCTCAAACTAAATCCTGAGGCATAATAATTAATAAGTATATTAATTGCTGACATGATTTACATGTATGTATGCAAATGACTACATTTATTTGTTTTCCATTTGCAACAAGGTTTCAAACTCGCTATTCTCTTGAAAGTACATGTGTCTGTATTTTCCCATGTTTAACTTTTGATATTAAAAATCATTTTTGATAAAAACCAAATTGACAAATGACACCTGTTTTTATCAGTATCAAGCTTTGTAAATATGAAATTTGAAGACTGGGAGAATTGGATGTATTAAATTCATATTTAGTCTTTTACAATCTTTTAATACAAACCAAAATAACAATAACCTAAAGCCTGAAACAAATTTCCTGTATAGACTGTACAAATATCAAGAAATACATAGGTGAAACATCTAGGAATTTAAATAAAGAATATATGAAAACAAAAAGGATCTTTTACAAAACAATGCACTCAACTTGTTCATTGTAATAAGTTTGATCATAATTTTAACTTAAAGAATGTACTTTTAGCTATACTGGATAGGTTGCTTCGTGATTACTATGATCTTAAGCTCTTCAATGTAAGTTCAACAATCATCTATGCTACCTATCCTCATAATATGCACCAATTGCTCCCTCCTTATATGCCCTTACATCAATTTCATTTAGTAACACCCTAACTTGTGTTGCTCTCGGGCCTTGTATTGGATGAACAATAGTAAAATAAAAACACTAAAAATGTGCACTTATTCATTCTTGCTTTCTTTTACTAATTTCTATAGGTGTTTTTGTAGTTTAAACCTGTCTGGGGATAGTTCATCCAGTTTAAATTTCTCACACTCATGGTTGACTTTACTGGCATATGTGACAAAATCTTCATCTTCGTTCTTAGTAAGGTTCATACACTGCCAACATGTATAAAATAAAAAAGTGAATTCTTTTCACCAAAAATCTTTGATAATATTGACACTGTTTCATTAAATGACACTTTTTCTGGAGTATTCGGCAAAATGAAATTCAGATATTTTTCATGTTCAGCGGGGCAATTTTCGTAAGAGATGTACTTTCTTGTCATCTGACCATTCTTGACATTCTGCTCTGAAAATGAACTTGAATCTTTTGAAGTACGATAGGAATTTAATGTTTTCTTCTGGGACATAATTAAATTCACTAATTGAATTAGCAACTGAGTCTGATGAAAATGAAATTGATGCATTTCCTGTTCCTTGCTTTTCCAGGATTGCCTTCAACTGTTCTCAATATTCAATCCAATCCAACCCAACTGCATTTGTTGTAATATTTGCTGAATAAATATCTTCAATTCTTCCATTGTGTATTATTTTTGTACAAGTAGTCTTTAACTAGGAAGAGAAAAATTTTTTTTTTTTTTTTAATAGCACTAAGTTATACATCCTCGGAATTTAGCATCACCCTATGAATATACACAAACTCCACAAAATTTTTTTCCTTGAATTTTGAATTTTTTTTCGTCAGCTATTTATGTTAAGCAAAAGAAATTTTTTTTTTTTCCCTGTGAATTTGAATCCTTGTCATCACTGTTATGTCTTCATTCCATTGAGTGAAGATAACACAATCATGAAATATAATGTTGCTTGGAGTCAATGTAGTCTTACTGAATTCTTTAGTAAGGATATAAGGCTCACTCCTGGCTTTCTTTCTGTTGACAATTCTCAGCATCAGTATATATGCTATTTGGATGAGTCCAAGTCATGTTCTGGAGAGGTGTGTTCATCTTCACAGCAGTTACTTTTCTGTATCTGCTATCAACACTGTGTCATCTACATATCTTATGTTAAGATTATGGCAGCCAGTAATGAATCCTGGTAGGACAGAAGTACCAAATATTTAGAAGTTGAAGTGTGATTTACACTATTTACATTGTTCGAACTGTTGTCCTCAGCTTTGTTGTCATATTCACAATGTTTCAGCTGTTTTACACTCCAGCCTTCTTCAGGTGATTAGAATTTTAAACTGAATCCTTTATTTTGTCCACCAGGCTAGATGATTCTAGTTCCACATGCCATACCTCTCATGGATATTTCAGTTTCAGTTATTTCCCTTTAACTTAACTTTCCAAGTTTTTTTTTGTTGTTCACCTCTGCTGTGGCCAGGTATTGAACTCACAACTCTTTGGGTCAAGTCATTGGATTAGTTCAACCAACACTTTTATTCACTGGCCTTAGATAAAATAAAGGGTTTGAAATTCCAATCACCTGAAGAAGGCCAAACTGTACAACAGCTGAAACATTGTGAATATGACAACAAAGATGAGGACAACAATCTGAACAATGTAAATTGTGTAAATATTTACAATACCTCATCTCAGAAATATAGACATATGTTGAAGTCTGATGTTTTCTGTCCAATTCTACAGCCTTGGTTTTTGGAGATAGGTTTAAAATCACTCCCCATTTTAAAGTTTCTTGTAGTATAAAAGCAATTCTTAACTCTGCTTCAGTTTCTTGTCTCTGTATTGCATGTAGAACAGAATTACTTCCCTTTTAATGCTTTAGCTACACCTGATAAAAATTTGATAAGCATTAGATATGCTTTTGGTGATTTGAGCCATTGGCTATTGATTAGCTTTCTAAGAACTTCACTTGTGACAGTTCTTGGTTAAAAGGGTTAAAAAAGAAAACAAAAACCCCAGACGTTTTGCTTGAAGGTATTATGCAATCGATTCGTTTGAAAGAGACATGATGATGCTAAGGGATTATATTGAGTAGAAGTAAAACCCAAATTGGTTTTTAATCTGGACAATTTGGGGTGATAAATTCATATATAATTTTTTTTATTTTGTTCCATTTTCTTTTGATCTTTGCTATTCATTTTTTTCTTCTCTTTGTTGCAGTACATAGCAGCCATTTTGAATGCTTTGATTGAAATCATTCTTCATTCTAAATTGTTCTTTTACGTTCATTAGAGTTGCAGTTGAAATTGTTCCAGTGTTAAATTACTTTACTTTTTATAGCTTTTTTTTCTATTATTTCACTGATTTTCTTTCTAGTTTTTTTTTGTCTTTCTCATATTTCTTTAGCTTAAAATTATTCTATTTTTTGAGAAACCTTTCTACCTGAAAAATCATTTTTAGCTTATTCTTTCACTTGCACTTTAAATTCTGATTGTATTCTGTATTATATGCTTTGATATTTGAGTCAGCAAGAGATAAATGGCCTACTAGACAACTAAGAATTTATGCTAATGACACAACTATTTACTCCTGTCTTAGTAAGTTTGTCAGGTTTAACAAAGTAAAACTGGCAACTGCTCTCAAAAAAGACCTTCAATCAGTGGTTAACTGGGGAAAGGACTGGCTTGTAAATTTTAACGCATCCAAAACAAAACTGCTTTTATTTAATCACCATAGAGAAGAACCTTTTCTGTCTGCCATCAGCATAGCTGATGCTAACTGCCATGAGAGCAACTCTTTGTGTTGTCTTTGGTTCACATTTTTCTACTGACATGAAGTGGAGTGATTCTATTGAATCAATTGCTAGGTTTACTCTGAGGAAAGTTGATTCACTGTGTCATTGCCAAACTATTTTCTCTTGTCAGAATCCATCTTGCACATTTATAAATCTATCATTTATCTGTGCATTGAATATTACTGCCATATCTGGTCTTACTATATATATGTTATTTTATTGCCCTTTCTCCTCACTAAAGTCTCCTCATTCTCTTTCACTCCCAGTAACCACTTCTGTCCTAATGGCATTATCCCACCTGGCTTGGGGTGAAATGATTAAAAAAAAAACAAAATTGTGAGTTCTATCTCTGGCTCTAAAGATTATGATTAAGCATTTTTTTTTTTTTTTCATTTTTAGATCTACATTGAGATTTTCTAGAGAAAATCTCAATGTAGGTCTAAAAATGTTATTAAAATGTTTAGTATTTGTTGTTATTCATCAGATAATTTTGATATTAGCAAGAGGGCATCAAATCGTAGATATATTTAAAAATTCTTCATTTATATCATGAATTTTTAAAATTTAGCATCAAATCTAGCCCCTTCCACTGTTAACATCTAAATTAGATTTAGCCCCCTCTACATTTAACGTCTGATTTAGCTCCCCTCTGCTTTGAGCATCTGATTTAGCTCCCCTCCGCTTTAAGCATCTGATTTAGCTCCCCTCCGCTTTGAGCATCTGATTTAGCCCCCCTCCGCTTTGAGCATCTGATTTAGCTCCCCTCCACTTTGAGCATCTGATTTAGCTCCCCTCTGCTTTGAGCATCTGACTTAGCTCCCCTCCGCTTTGAGCATCTGACTTAGCTCCCCTCCGCTTTAAGCATCTGATTTAGCCCCCGTCCACTTTTGTATCTGATTTAGTGCCCTCCCCACTCCTCTTTTCACTTCCGATTTAGCCTCCTCTCTCCACACTTTTAACAGCTGATTTAACCGCTACCCTATTTTGTGGCAACATGTTTGTGTTATGTAAATAGTGCTCTTCCTTCTCATTTTGATTATTTTATATTGGGTTTGATGAGACATACTTTTCCTCTTGATTTGTAATTTAAACATACAACCTTTTAGGTACAATGGGTTTAAGATAGTATTTGTAAGTCTAACTGCAATCATTTGAAGTTGTTAAGAAAAAAATGTTTAAAG